CCACTGCACTGAGCCCGGCTGGACACAGCCCAGCCCTGGGGGCACCTCCAGGTGCTTTGAAGCCGTCTTGTTTTCTCAAGGCTCTGGCCCGCAGCCGTGCCTTCCCCTGTATTTTACAAACATGGTGTTTTATTTTGTTTTTGTTTGGTTTTGCTCGGAGATGATTCATTTCTCTTGAAAGCCCCGCGCGGTGTGTGCTGCAGCAGGGAGCAGCTCTGTGGTCGCGCTGCTGGCCAGAGCCGGTGTGGACCGACCTGACGGACAGATTGCTTGTGTTTTCTGTAACGGCGCTGATGGGCCTGGAGACGATCGTGGGTGTGATGGGGCTAATGCTACTCAGGATTCCTGACCGTCAGGAGTGTGGCGCCAGGCGTTAGGAATAGGAGATGCCAGCCAAAAGTAGCTGGATGTCCTTCAGCACATTTTTCTCCACTCTGATATGGTGAGCTCCTCCACAAGTGGCATTTTCTGCACCGGGGTTCCCATCCCAGCAGCCTCCCTTGGTACAGGGTGGTTTTGCTGCAGACGAGGATGGAAAGGAGACCATCAACTTCTGCTGGGAACAGAAGAGGAACAGCACAAGGACAGGCTGCCTGTCCCCTGGCTCCACGCTGCAGCTGCATCTGCTGTAAGGACCAGGAGCTTAATTCTTGCAGCTTACCTTGGAAGGCTGCTGAAGAACTTCGCTTCGCATCCTTGGTGAGGCTGGCCGATGCGTAGGGGTACGTGCACAGAGCAAGTTGTGTGTAAGCCTGTGTTAATATGTACACAGCAGGTGGAAGAGTCTAGACTCCTGGGCAGGAAGGCTGCAGAGTTTGACGGCTATTAACCTGTCGAGAAGCACACCTAGCTCCCAGATCAAAGCCAGAGGAGCCTCTGGCCAGTGATGCTACCCAGCGTGGTGTACCCAAGCCAAACAAAACCAAGGAATTCATCGAGGTTACACATCCTCTGGCATGCAGCTGAAAGGAAGGGTCTGTATTTCCCTCCTGGAAACTTTGGAGAATGTAACCCTCCAGTTTCAAGATAAACAGTTGTAGTCACAACCTAGCAATGCTGGCAGATGGACCCATGCCCCATAGTGTGTAAACATCCCCCCCCCGCCCCCTCCCCATTCCTCGGGCTCGCTTAAGGAAAAGGAATCTTTGCTCCAAAGCAAGTTGCTGCTGCCTCAGGAGCTGCTGGTTCCTCTCACCAACCTGTACCCTGATTCTGCTGTGCCACCGGCCGGGCTTTATCAGAGCAGGGGCCAACGCTCTCCTGGGTGGGGAGAGCACTTAGGGGTGGATGAAACACAGAAAGTGAGTGAGGAGAGGGGCAAAAAGATGCCATCATACAGGTTTAATAGATCAACTGCCCACAACCATTTGCAAAGCAAAGCTGAGATTACTTGCCTGATGGCATGGAGCAGGGAGAGGTAATCTGGCAGCAATGGCTCCTGGATGGAGTCACCAGCTTTAGGATGGGTTCAGGTCTCAAGAAGCAACCTCCTCCGTGTGCCTCTGC